AATAGCTATAAACAGCATCTTGGTGTATGATGACACTAGAACTAGGGTGGATATATTGTATGATAATAGCTACAAACAACAACTTGGTGTATGATGACATTAAAACTAGGGTGCACATATTGTATGATAATAGCTATAAACAACATCTTGGTGTATGATGACACTAGAACTAGGGTGGACTTATTGTATGATAATAGCTATAAACAATATATAATGACACTAGAACTAGGGTGGATATATTGTATGATAATAGCTACAAACAACAACTTGGTGTATGATGACATTAAAACTAGGGTGCACATATTGTATGATAATAGCTATAAACCACATCTTGGTGTACGATAACACTAGAACTAGGGTGGACATGCTGTATGGTAATAGCTACAAACAACATCTTGGTGTACGATGACACTAGAACTAGGGTGGACACATTGCATGATAATAGCTATCAGCAAGATATGATGACACTAGAACTAGGCTGGACATATTGTATGATAATAGCTATCAGCAACATATGATGACACAAGAACTAGGATGGACATATTGTATGATAGTAGCTATTAGCAACATATGATGACATTAGAACTAGGGTGGGCATAGTGTACGATAATAGCTATAAACAACAAATTGGTGTATGATGACACTAGAACTAGGGTGGACATATTGTATGATAGCAGCAATAAACAACATATGATGACACTAGAACTAGGGTGGACATATTGTATGATAGTAGCTATAAACAACATATGATAACAATAGAACTAGGGTGGTCATATTGTATGATAATAGCTATAAACAACATGATGACACTAGAACTAGGGTGGATATATTGTATGATAGTAGTTATAAACAACATCTTAGTCTATGATGACACTACAACTAGGGGTAGACATATTGTATGATAATGGCTATAAACAATATATGATGACACTACAACTACGGTGGACATACTGTATGATATTAGCTATAAACAACATATGATGACACTAGAACTAGGGTGGACATATTGTATGATAATAGCTACAGACAACATCTTGGTGTATGATGACACTACAACTGGGATGGATTTATTGTATGATAATTGCTACAAAGAACAACTTGGTGTATGATGACACTAGAACAAGGGTGGACATATTGTATGATAATAGCTACAGACAACATCTTGGTGTATGATGACACTAGAACAAGGGTGGACATATTGTATGATAATAGCTACAGACAACATCTTGGTGTA